GCCACTGCGATTTGAAACAGTTCATCGGGCAGGTCGCTGTTCGTCTGTGTAGGGAAAGCTGTCATGCTGAGGACAACAGTCTTTTACGATTTGACTCATTGCCTCCTCCAAAATTTCCGCAGATAGATATTAATATGAAGTGTTTTTACTGTCTCCGGTGCTAAGCAAAACCATTATAGCGTTCTCCTTTGTCAGCAGATGTTTCACTGAGGAGAACATGAACATTTTCTACCATAGGATAAAACAGTTTGAAACGAGTAGTTAATCTTACTGGAATTATCAACTTTAGTCATCTCCATTCTCAATTTCACTCGCTCAGCGTAGTATGACGTATGGTTGTCGCTGGTTTGTACTTCCTAGATCAGATATGCAGCCCAGATTCACCCCAGCGGGCTCGAGTGAACCGTAATTTGTAGCCATATGAAATTTTGGATCCCACGACTATGGCTTTAAAACGAGCAATTTGTCATGCCGTAAGAATCGCCTGCTAGAATCTGTCATACAGAAGTTTGTGCAGAAAGTTTGCGTGCTACTGAAAACGCAAAATATCTGGAAATGGCGAATCAGTCAGGTATAAAAACCGCCTTGTCATGGAAACCACCTGTCCAACCGAACAGATGTTTCAATAAACGGTGGAGGTTCGACCTGCCGGTTGTTCCTGTCACAGCAGCCTCTGCAGCAGCGACGGCTGTACGCAAACCGTACACGACTGAAAGTGCGTTAGTCGAACCTTGACAAATACAACCTGCGAATAAATCGTAATATTCGGAACGCCACTGTGTAATTAAAGACAGACTGACATTTGGCATCATTCATAACAGTCATATATACGGTGCTTCTGCCTATTTAATATTAATTTTTCATTGTTATGATGAAGTCGGTATGCAATATGATCAGGCTGGAGAGACTGAACGAAGAAAGAGGGCCGGTAGGTGGGCTTCACTTTTGATTTGACATATATGTCAAGTACTGCTGTCTCAAGGTGTTATAATTGGCCATTAAACAGTCATAGCGAAGGTGCATATATGTCGAAGAAGAGGAGCAGTTAACGCGAGTTCAATCAAGGAAGTCCTCTTCAGCGCCAACCAATGTTATATGACTGCGAGGAGTAATCACTCACTAAAACCCGAAAACCACCAGCTATCCCTCACTGAAAGAGTCATGGAAAGAAGAATGTTGCGAATGTCACGTGGCTACCTCGGTGATCAGACAGAGCACTTGAGTGAAGGACTTCATCGTCGGACGCATGAGTGA